TTATTTTTTTCTGGTACCAGGAATTGAACTCACGACCTTGCGCTTGCCAGGCAGGTGCTGTGCCACTGAGCTAAATCCTCAGCCCTCCTTCCTCCTTTCTTTCCTTCTTCTTCTCCTTCTTTCCTTCCTTCCTTCCTTCCTTCCTTCCTTCCTTCCACCTTGCCTTAGCTGAGTGCCTTTGGAGCAGAAAGAATAATTTCCTGACTCTTAAGCCAGTATTTCTGTATGCAAGCCACACTGACTATTCCCATAAAATTGGAAACTCTAAATCAGCTCTAACTGAAATAGAGTGCAAGCCTCACGTGTAATTTTATGTTATTTATCTTTTTCACATATGTAATTTCAGTCTTCTGATAGTAATATTAAAAAAGCAAAAAGAAATTAGGAACATAAATTTTAGTAATATATTTCATTTAACCTAATATATCCAAAACACTTCTTTACATGATAAATGTAAGAAAATATTTTACTCTTTTAAAAGAGTAGATCTTTGAAATTCAAAGTGTATTGCACATGCACAGTGCATTTTAAGTCATGCTGGCATATTTCCTGTGCTCAGCAGCCTGGTGGGCCTCGTGGCTAGTGTAGTGACAGCATAGCTCTCAAGTGGCTTTCAGTGACGTTCAGGACACTTAGCACATTCTTCCACTTTCCATTATGTAAAATAATAGCACAGGCTAGAATTGGAGTTCAGGAGAACCGATTAAAAAGTAAGGGCATTTGTGAAAAGTACTTATGTCATTCACTCACATATTATTCATCAAACAATTAGATTTTGAGGACTTACGTACACGAGGGACTATAGATAAAGAGATGAACAAGACCTTCCCGGCGCATTTACAAGGGAACACTGTCTCATAAGGAACAGACCTATCACCAGATTCATTGCAGTTTGAAGGGCTAAAGAGCACAGAGCAGGGATTCAAGCATGCTAAGAGAACAAATAAGTACAAAACTGAGTCTTCCCAGGGAAGTCTCAAAGACCCAGCGGGGGAGAGGAAGTATTCCGACTTACTTTTAAAAACTAATTCAGAATATCCTGAGCATAGGCAGGGGTAGGGAGACTACAAGCAAAGGAAAGAGTGTACCCATGGGCAAGATGCATGCGGGAATGGGAGAGGGGAACTAAAATATTTTGAGCACCTGCATCATGCTGAGCACCATGATGAAAAAGCATTTATGTAACTGTTGGAAGGGCAAAACATTTGAAGAATAAGTGCGAGCTCAGTGGGTCTGATTTCTAGAATGTAAAAGTAGAGATAAGGCTCCACTCTGAAGGACCTCAAATGCTACACTAGCAAGTTTAATGGAATTCAAAGGCAATTTTGCATGGTGGTTAAGCCCAGGGGCCTTGCAGTCAGAAGGAACTGTATGACCTCTACTACTTCGTGGCTTTATGACCGGGAGCAAATGCCCACCTATGGAGGCAAGTGCCAAACTCACGTTAGCAAAGAATTTATTTAGCACAGTATCTGCCACATAGGGGGTACTCCTTAAATAGCAGCCATAATCAATGCATAGTATGACAACAAAGAATCACGGGTCTTTCAGTGGACGAGTGAGTGAGCATGTGTGTGTGTTTGTTCATACAAAATCCTAACCAGTGTATGGTGAACAGGCTGGAGATGCAGGCAGTTGTGAGACAGGTGGAGGCTTGTAGGAACGATGAAGTGATGTGCTCTGAACCATGACAGCAGAATCAGAGATGGAGGTTGTTGGCAAGGCTTCTGTGAGGCATTTGTGAGGAAGAAACTGAAGGTCTGAGTGGCTACCTGGGATGGAAGGTTGGAGGGAACGAAGAGTTAAAGTTGGTCCTGAAGTGAGAGGACTGGAAAACTGACTAAAGAGAATACACACAAAAAGGAATTATTTTGAAAGAAGCTGGTAAGTTTTGGATCAGGGGTGGTGATGGATTTGGAGACCAGCAACAGATCGACAGTAGCTGAAGCCATAGAAAAGGAGAACATTCCAGAAAAACATACAAAGTGAAAAGAGGACATATGAAGAGAGCTGGGGAAGTTTCCTTAGTTTGAGGGCTGGGCAGTTATGAGAATGGGATGGTAGAGTGTCAGAGAGACAGAAGAAGGGTGGGGAACAGTGATGTTATGAAAACAACAAAAATAGATTTTAAGAAATCAGAAATTGTATTACTAATATCTATTGGTTTATTGAAAGGAACTGGTAATGTGTAATTGTTTGATCAATCATGCATGCCTATATCCAGTTATCTGTGCAACCATTTTGAAGATGACATTATGTAATATAACAACCATTGTTAATATCCTATCACGATGTTTTGAAATTCTGTATCATTTTTATTGTTCTCTATGCTGTTTTGTTTATGTACTTGTTTTTGTTATTTTCGGTTTTTTCTTTTCTCTTTAAAATGAAAAACAAAATTTATATGTATATACAAGGATAGCTGGGATAGGTGCATTGCTGATGTCTGTGGTTTATTGAAAGGAACTGTGAATGCTTAAAATTTTCTTTTTTCTTGACCAATTTTGCATGCTTGAATCTGGTAATCAGAATGACTGATATGAAAACAACAATATGCAGGATAAGAACCATTGTTGAGCTCCTACCATCTTCTATGGTGAAGCTCTGCATCATTTCCAACTTTTTTTTTATTACTTATTACAGTCTTTGATTGCTGGATCGATCTTACATTCTTACATCTGGTGGACTGAGCAACATTGTAGACTATAACAGTATGTAATGTAGCAACCATTGTCAATTCCTATCATTTTGTTTTGAGCTCATGTATTATTTTTGTTGTTTTTATGTTGTTTTGATTTTGTCTTCATTGTTGTTATGTTAGTTTTTTTTTTAAATTAAAAAATAAATAAAGAAATCAGAAATAGTTATTGAGGTAACCAACAGGTCATAACAAATAGGTCCATATATAATAGGTTAGCACAAGAAGTTCCTTCTTTTTGTAAAAGCCCAGTTTCGTGTTTGTATGTGTGTGTGGAGGGGGGCAGTGTTCTGCTTCATAAACTTATTCAGAAACTCAGGTTAATGGCAACCTTATATTTTTAACCTTTATTTAGATTCCCATGGCAGATAGCGAGGAGAGGTAAAGGGGGTGGAGGAGAAAAAGGAGCAGGCAGAACTCCTCAAGCATGAATACCAGGCCTGAAAACAGCAGCAGTGTGTTGGA